TTCACTAATCTTTGTCGTTAATGGACTTAAATGGAGCTTTTATTTTGTTAATCATAGAGCAAGTTGCTTCTATAAGCTTTTAATAAAAAATGCCTGATTAAGAATTTTATCAAAAGATGAAAGGATGTCATAGTTAAAACTTTGGTGGTGAGTATTTGATTTGTAATTTTAACCATGTCTTGATTTTTGTATACATTTATAGACAAAGGGTATAGTCACTTTCTTTTATCATTTTATCAGGAGATGGTTACCAAGGAATACCAAAATTTCAAGTATCAACAACCCTACCAGCAGGCTATGTACTATTGCTCATTGATACTACACGATAATACTTGGCCATGGATAGAAGGGCTTGAAGTACTTCCTCTTCTTCAGGCAGAGGACCTCGAGAAATTTGTACCATTGATGCTCTCAAGGACCTTTTTAGAGTGTTATATAGCAGGTAATTGTGTCTTAAATGTTGATGAGTTACTTGTTTCCTTTATATTTATAAATTTGGATAAATAACCTAATCACCATTTCTTTACAGGTAACATTGAAAACCATGAAGCAGAGTCAATGGTTAGGCACATAGAAGATACCCTTTTTAAGTGTGAAAATTCTCTGTGCAAACCTTTATTCCCATCTCAGCATTTGACAAATCGGGTTGTTAAGCTTGAAAATGGCATGAATTATTTCTACCCTTCAGAATGTCTTAATCCGAATGATGAGAATTCTGCCCTTGTGCACTATATACAAGTAAGTTGCTTGTTTGCAAAAGCATGGTAGTTGAAGTTTACAATCTAGTGTTATTATTCTGTTACTTACTTTGGTTGCAAATATAGTCGTTACATACCTAGTTTTCTAAGAGTCCCTTTCAAACTGAATATTATTTGAATTTCAACTTGTTACAAAGACAAGCCAATTAAATTTCTCATTGATAGCAAATTTAACCTAGGTCTTTTTTTCATCTCCCATACCACCTCTAAGTACCTCCCCCTCACCTGGATGTGAAGAGTGAAATCTCCATTATGACTTAGTAAAAGATGGTATGGAGCAACCGCTAGGATTTGTTGCTCGAAGGAAGTCTGTCAGTGTAGAGTGAAAAAAATTGTTGTGGAAAAGTAAGCAAAATGTTGTATGTCAATCTAATGCGGAGGCTGAATAGTCTTATAACTTAAATAACATGAATTTTATGTGGGTAAATCATTTGGTATGTCAATTGTTTTTTGACATACCTCTCCCAGTCGAGTCATCATGCATATCTAATCCAAACGTGTCTCATGAGGAGAGAAAAGAGATATTGAAGCTAATTGTCATATAGTCACAAAAATGAAGGTCTGTAGTGCGTTTAGGGAGAGAAAAAGGAGAGTGACTATAAAGGGATGTAGATCTCATGTGTAATCACACTTATTTGTGTCATTTTTCTATGAATGTATGATTGTACTGTGTTAACCTCCTTTTCTCCTATCTTTTGGTCTATTTATTTGATTGGATAAATCATTTTAAGCTCTATATATTCAGTGGGTCATTTTATCCTCATGATTAACTTGAGCTATATATCTTCAGTGGATCATTTTATCCTCATGATTAACTTGCAGGTTGGTCGTGATGACTTTAAGATGAATGTTAAACTTCAGCTTTTTGCACTTATTGCAAAGCAACCAGCTTTTCACCAGCTTCGATCAGTTGAACAACTTGGGTACATCACTGTGCTCATGCAGAGGTGAGTTCAGCTATACTGTCCACTAGTATCCTACTCAACATGAAAGAACTGCTCCTTGTTTTTCACTTTAGTTTCAAAATGTGTAGGAATGATTCAGGTATACGGGGAGTACAATTTATCATCCAATCCACAGTAAAGGTATATGAAACTAATATCTAATAATTGATACCTGATGACTCAGTTGATTAATATTATCATTCTGCTTGCATGATAGGGTCCCGGAGACATTGAGAAGAGAGTTGAGGCATTTCTCGAGATTTTTGAGAAAAAACTTCTTGAGATGTCAGTTGAAGAATTCAAGGTTTGATGGACAAATTACACTATTTTTTTAGTCTTTTGCTCGTAATAGGATGTTTTTATACCCTAATCATTGTTGCAGCAAGCATGTTTTATTGTTTCCTATATTTTGATTAAATATGCCATGTTACTCCTTGTATTCGAGTTTCAAATTAACTTGCTTACGGGGAGGATTAAACAAAATGGATAACAAGAATGATAAATGATGTCCTCAAATAGAGTAGAGGAGTTTATGCGCATCTTCTCTGAGAAAGAGGGGTTATTGTCCCACCACAACTTTCCAATAGTGCAAGCACTAAAGAGAGGTCCACTTCTGAATCTCAAATCTTTTTTGGATGAATATTTCTTGAATAGAAATCAATGAAGCATAACGGAACTCTTCTACCTGTAAATATTGCTATTTTCATAGGGTCATTTCACCATTATTTGAATCATACAGATTGCTATGATTGTGAGTCGAAATTGGGACTATAAACTGTCGATGATTTGTTTTATATTTTATAAATTTGTTAAATTCTGATAAGGTCATTTTCCATATTCATTTTTTGTCAACTCAATTATTAAATTTTGGGTTGGATTATATGTTCCCATAGATCACCTTCTGTATTTTTGCAGTGAACCTTAAATAGCAATGATTGTGTTTGAACTATAATTGATATCTAGATGCTTGTTTAGGGGCATGTAAATGCATTGATAGAGGTGAAGCTTGAGAGACACAAGAACTTGCGGGAGGAGTCAGGATTTTACTGGCGAGAGATTAATGATGGAACTCTGAAGTTTGATAGGAGAGACTTTGAGGTATTACTAGAAGCTGATATTATTTATATATGTATATTCTTCATTTTTGTTCCCTTATTTTCCTGTATCGCTTTCTCCCCTCTAAATAAAAGGCGAATAAAGGAATGCTTATTAAGGGGAAAGATCTCTCTAGAATCTTATCTGGATGAATTGATTAGAACACTCTTATAAGACTAGACTCATGGAAGTGGTTCAGTTCCATGGGTAGGAGCTAGGAATTGAGTTCCCTGGTTTTTAATGAAACGGAATTCCATGGGGAACCCACTTCCAAGGCACCAAACATAAATGCTGATTCCACTTCCAGTTCCAATTCTGTGCTACCAAAAGGAGCATTAGTGGTCATTAGGGACAAAAGATTTGTGATTTTGGTCTTTAGGCATAATTCTCCTAAAAAAATGTATATTACCTTCTTTTTCTTTCTCTTTTTTTCGTTTTAGCTGAGAAATGGATTTAGCTTTGTAGCATCGCTGACATGGTGATTCTTTTGGGTGTTTGTGGAACAGGTTGCAGAATTAAGGCAGCTCACACTTCAGGAACTTGTGGATTTCTTCAATGAATATATCAAAATCGGTGCCTCACGAAAGAAGACATTAAGTGTTCGAGTGTATGGGAACCTTCATTCATCGGATTTCAAAGCAGAAGCTTCACATCCAGAGTCAAGTAAAATAGATGACATCTTCAGTTTTAGGAAATCTCAGGCTCTGTATGGTTCGTTTAAAGGACTTTCGGGTCAGGTGAAGTTATAGAAAGTTGGATCAGGACTGGATTGTGAAGCTGCCTTGCCTATCATTTTGGTGAGATGATTCTAGAATATTGAAAATACCAAGCCTTCTCATATCAGCAAGAAAAAGAAGTATACTCGTAAAAGCTTGGGTGTCCGATTTGAAAGGGCAGACAGGCATGAATAATCCCAAGCTGATCATGTTGTGTTAGTACATTTTTACCCGTATTAAACGAAATTGCAAATTTTTTCCTCCTGGCAGTTCGCCATTGGATCAGATGGATCATTTATCTTCAGCGGAGAGTATCGCTTAGTAATTTATTTTGTATGACTGTCATTAATATATGGTGTCTCGAATAATCTTGCGTTTTCAGGATTATAATTTCAGGTACCAAACAAGCACGGCGCTTGTCCAATGCCTTTAAAACCACATGTTGTCTAACTTGCCGTGTCTCTGAACCAGTATTGTCGATCCTCTTATAGAAATATTCTCTTGCTAATTAAAATTTCACCAAAAATATATGTATATTTTACTCCCTCTTTTAAAATATGGGTCTGGAAATTTTTTAAGGACAAATTTGTAAATATAAAAAGAACATTGCCATATTAACTGTCTTTCCTAATCTGTATTTTTTTCCTTCGTTTCTGTGGATAAAAAGATATATTGAGTTTAATTATAATTTTTAATATGTGTTATCATTCTTTTTCATAAAAATATAAGTAATACGTAGTTTATGATTGTTTTATACTTTAATTGAAAGAATATAATAAAATTAGGTATTTGTCATTCTAATTCGGGAATTTAATAATGAACATGTAAAGAATTAATAGATTTTTAGATATCAAAGCATTTGGCTTCATTATAATATTGAAAATTCATTCTTCTGATTTAATTGAAGGGGATTTTCTTTAAAAAAAATTGAGGTAAATTTTGTTTTTCCCCCTAAAAATTTAAGAAATTTATTATTAATGACATTACAATATATTGCCCTACCACAAAAAAAAACTCTTCAATATCTGAAAAGCCCGTTTAGAAAAGTTTAAGAAATTTATTATTAATGACATCACAATATATTACCATACCCAGAAGATCTTCAATATCGTTTGTTTGTTCCCAGGTACACATGAATCAAAAGTGATAATTCACCAGCATCAATAACAATACTCGAGAGATGCATTTTCATCCTTGCCTGTTCAAATTTTCATTTTTAAGATGTATACACTGGACAAGGGTATATTGGGGATGACAAGAAATGATCCAATCCGTTTCATAGAGGCTGTTGAGACTATGCTAAACCTATCATTCTATCTTTTCACTTCTATTTTTTTGGGGCCGACTATCTTTTCACTTCATCTACATTATTATTATTATTATGATTTTTTATAACTACACTCCGTAATGTAGCCGAAATTTAGTTAATTCCTATGGTATGCGTATCGGGATTCTTGAATCTTCACGAATATACGATAATCCTTGACTGGGTACCTACATATATATAAGCCGCTACTGTCTAGCTGTTTGTGACAACCTTATTCAGCTATCTGCCAAAGAAATATCACAAAAGACGGACAGTAGTAAATAGTCCTGAGTCAGGCAGCAATCTAGCATCATCAGCAATTAAACCAAACAATATTAAATTATACTACAAGGGAGGGGAAAGAAAAAAGACTTGGTGCAGTATTCATACGTACCTTGTAAATATAGGGGTCATGGCGCCCACCTGAGCCCGATCTTTTCACCGCTTGCAGCCTCAGCAGCCTTCACACAATCCATATTTAGTACAGTTTATCAGTATGCCAGGTAGATCCCCAAATTAGAAGAGAATTCGTATACGTACATAAAGAGATGCTCAATTTGACGACAAATGAAAGTACTTCGGGAGGTTCTGAAACTAATCACTACGCTAATGCCAATCCTTTCTTGATTTAAAAGAAGTTCCTTGATTCACCAATTTTTCTACGAACGACCGTGTGTATAAACGAAAATTACCAGGTTATCATGAGATGTCAGGTCCAAATTTCTTTTCTCAAAAGTCAGACTGAGTTATGTGCCTATAGCACCCGCCAATTTCATGGGGCTGGGCTGCGGTTACGTATGTTTATTGTTGTGATTTGTGTGTCCATACATGCTGCATGGAGAGAATTGAGGAGAGAGAGATTACATTCGGAGAGCTTTGCTGGTGTCAGGACTGTCGCCGAGGAGTTGGCGGATCCTCACTTCAGAAGAGTCCCCACCAGAAAGCAACTTCAAAATGGCTTCAGCTCGGCGGCGCATATAAGTGGAACTGGTAACGTGCTTTTGCTTTGCATGCTGCGCGTGATTGCGTTTCAGCATTCCAAGCATCTTCCCGCTTCTGGTTCGGTTTATATACCGCAAGCTTCGTGCGCTAGAGATTCCACTGGAACCGCTTGACAAACAGGAGGATGCGTCAGCTGTATGCTCGGACACCTTTGATGCCATGCTGGTGTTTGGTTTCGGGACGTCGTCATTGGAGACCCACGTGATCTTCGATCGACTCTTCCTCGCAATCTAAAATCATAATTCAAAGAATCTCATGAGTGTGCTCATATTAAAAGCATTGTAAACTAATCTTTACATTACAAATAAGGGCTTCGTGACGAATTTTGCTGTCATCGAAAGTCCAAACCCCAGAGTCTTCAATGGCAATTATGCAATGGAAGGTATTTGACGCATGACTTTGCCTGAGAAGAGCTGTATTCGATGACATATACACATTTCGAAATTCAGGGAGTAAGACTGTGTTCATATGAAAAGAGAACCGAGAGACTAATGATACTGAATCAGAGGAAGAAAAACTGGTCTTATTTGCAGCAATCAAATGGCAGGGAGAAAAAATTCTGCGACAAAACCAAGCATATATCTCGCATAAGCAAGTGACTAAGTGCAATATCTTGAGGTAAACAAGAAGTAAAAGACGCTTGAACGGTGCGAAACATGAATCTCGTAACTATCCAGTCAGGACAGAAAAGTGAGATCGGACTACTCAAGAAATTGTTCTGCCTGCCCGGAAACAGAAATAAAATCTTCACAATGCACAGAAAACGGATCAGAACAGAGAATGAACAAGTATTCTACCGAAGCAGTAAATATAAATCGGAGATCGAAGCTCAGGACCTTAAACTTCATCTGACGATAACGAGCGACGGCAGAGAAGAACCTGATCCTACGACCTCTGATCTGATCCGACGATCCATCATCGCTTAAGAGCGACGACGACGACGACATCTTGGAACCACTCGACACGAAGCTATCGTCTCTGCGACTCTTGTTTCTGCTTCTCTCTGGCGTCGAATCCCTCGGAGCAACATCAAACCTGTGGAGCAAACAGAATTAAGTGCAGACGCAAAAATGCAAGAACACATTGGATTGAAATAAAATACAGACGCATAAGGCAAGAACACATTAAATTGAAAACAGAATTAGAGAACCACAAGTAGCTTGACTACCTCGTAGGAGAAAGCGAGGGAGAGGAAGATGCAGGCGGAGCAGAGAGAAGAAGCAAAGCAGAAGCAACTGTCCGTTCTTGCGAACTCGGAAACGGTGACAATGACATTGCTCGTTTCAGTAGCACTATGCCTCTGTTTTCCAATTTTAATTTGGCGGGTTTATTAAATGCTTTTCAAATTTCTCTGTCACTCCTCTTCACGCGCGTAGTCTCACTCACTCTGTGGTTCGCGGATGCGTGTGTGGCGTGAAAGTGGAACTTGAGGCTTGCATGGCTTTTGTAACTCGCAGTCCGATACCAATCAAGGAAAATTGGGCTAAGGGTAAGCCCGATCGATAATTCGGAGCAGCGTAAGCCGCATGAACACCAATGTGGGTCCCCTATAACGCTTATGGAAGTTGGAACTTTGGAATCGATCTCAACTACGATATTTGGTCATATAAAGAATAAATCGAGCCATCAAACGCGAAAAAAACGTGCCTCATTCCCTCCTCTGATCCATTGGCTCTGCTTTGGTTTCCTTTGATAATCTGATTTCGTTACTTCTCTCCACTGGATTATCATCACTTAATTATGGAATGAGCTTCATATTTCCCATGATTCAGTGTTTTTTCTGCTTTTTCTGTACTCACTCGCTACTGGTTGCAAGTAGTCACGTGCTTTTATTCTGAGATGAATTTCTCAGACTTAGAAAATGTAGAATTATTATTAAAAAAAATGATAGATCTGAATGTTTAAGTTTTTTTTTTTCAGGATAAAAAAAAGAAACTAAATTATCATTGGCACTAAAGGTAAAACAACAAGCTATTTATACTACCTACTTTTTTACCCTCTGCAAACTCATGCAATTGTGAAGTATATGCAATCAATTTTACATTTTCATTGTTTTTTATTTGTAATCTGAATATGCTTTCGTGAATGAATTGATATTTAAATTGATGGCACATGCGCAATGTAAGCATAAGCACTGATAATAGTAGTAATTGTTGCTGTTATACGTGTTAGAGCACATGCCTACACCTAAAATCTCCCTCGGACAGCTTTTGTCTTTTTTTTTTTTCCAATCACTAAACTATCAAAGTAATTCTCTCAATGAGTTACAATATTCTGCGTTTTTTTTTTCAATTTTTATTTAGAATTTCATTGAGTATTTAATTGTAAATTTCTTCACATTACTAGTCATTTTTTCCTTCTTTATACACTTTGATTCTGTAGACCATGTTAAAACCGCAAAACGCTTTGTATCCAAGGGGATTATTTTTAGAAATTGCTTGGTATTATTTCCATGTATTTTTTATCTCACATTTTATTTTTATGTAATAAAAATAATACTTCAGCATTACAATTACATATAGTAAACATTTTCGCCGATCCTACATATTCCCATTGCTTACTTGGCTAACATTAGACATTAGTCTCTAATTAGAATTGTCAAAAGCTTCCTTTGAGACATTTCTTGCATTCGAAGAACTCCGTTTTGGTGCTTTTCATGATGAAAAAGAACACATTCCCGTGACACTTCGATCAGATAATGTCGAATGCACTCTTTCCCAAAGACGATCCTTGAACCACACTATTAACCATAAATCCATCAATTTTCTATTTGAGCACGAACATCTTCTATTTTCTTTTTGAAATGCATTACACACAGGAATCGGAAAGTGATTAATTAAAAGGAAAATGACTTGTTAACTAATCAAAGTCAAGACAAGTGGGTACCAAAGTTTGAGCTGGCTTTGTTTAGAAGGCATCGGCAGAGAAATGGAGAGGTTAGATTGGAACTTCGGGTTAGAAGCAAGCAGAACCATGCAACCGACGATATCAGGCCCACCTGACAAATTGTATATTATTGTATATCGATCTATTATTCGATCGTATTACCTAATCAGTCCAACCCAACCATAAATATATATTTCAGAGCATCAAAAAGAAAGAGATGGCTCAGCGCGAGACAGGGTCTTCCACCCACCAAACTCCTTACAGATGCATTGAAGCCTAAGGAATCACACACACACACACACAATCATACCTGTCGGCAAGAGATGCAATTGCAGACAAAGTGAGCTTGTGCGCTTCTACACAGTGGTTTCAGTTTTGGTTCGCGCTGTCGGAGAATCAAGTGAGACTCCAGAGTGTTAATTCGGCTGAAGTTAAGCTTGGACTCACGAGAGATCTGAATCAAGCGCTGGTCTGGTGGGAGGAAGGGTGATTCGTCTCATAGGATCCAATGTTGGTCCAAGATCGGTCAGCTCCTAAATCTCCTAAGCCCCATGCGAGAACTATACCTAAGCTTCCCACAGATCGCTTCTCTGAGTCCAAAAACCTTGATTGCTCCGCATGGGTGTCCGACAATCTCTTTAAAATCACTGCAGTCTTTCTCCTAATTGTCACTGTTGCAGCATTATTTTTCCTCCGCAATGTTGGCGACACGGCTGCGCTGCTATGCTTCGAAAAAAAGGCCATAGACCTCGAAAAGATCGAATTTCCACATATTAACTGGAATTCGATTGCTCCAATCACGGATAAGACCTCCAGATACGCAAATTTTCGATCAGAGCGGTGGATCGTTGTCTCAGTGTCGAATTATCCCACAGATTCACTTCGCAATCTCGTCAAGATTAAGGGGTGGCAAGTGCTGGCAGTGGGGAACTCAAAAACGCCGTCGGATTGGAGCTTAAAAGGTGCTATCTTTTTGTCATTAGAGGAACAAGCCACTTTGGGGTTTCGGGTAGTGGATTATCTTCCTTATGATTCATACGTTAGGAAAACTGTTGGTTATCTCTTTGCCATTCAGCATGGCGCTAAAAAGATCTTCGATGCTGATAATAGGGGCGATGTAATTGATGGGGATCTTGGTAAGCATTTTGATGTAGAATTGATTGGCGAGGGTGCCAGGCAAGAGATTATATTACAGTACAGCCACGACAATCCAAATCGAACTGTTGTGAATCCATATATTCACTTTGGGCAGCGTTCGGTTTGGCCTAGAGGAATGCCATTGGAAAATGTTGGTGAAATTACGCATGAAGAATTTTACACAGAGGTCTTTGGGGGAAAACAGTTTATACAGCAGGGACTTTCAAATGGGCTTCCTGATGTTGATTCCGTGTTTTATTATACACGTAAGTCCAGCTTTGAAGCTTTTGACATTCGATTTGACGAACATGCCCTAAAAGTGGCGCTGCCACAAGGTATGATGGCGCCTGTTAATTCCTTTAATACATTGTACCATTCTTCAGCATTTTGGGCTTTGATGCTTCCAGTTTCTGTTAGCACCATGGCTTCTGATGTGATAAGAGGATACTGGGGACAGAGGCTTCTTTGGGAAGTTGGTGGTTATCTTGTATTTTATCCCCCTACACTGCATAGATATGATAGGGTTGAGGCTTATCCATTCTCACATGAGAAAGATCTTCATGTCAATGTGGGACGTCTAATCAAGTACTTGATTTCATGGAGATCAAATAAACATAGATTGTTTGAGAAGATTTTGGAGTTAAGCTACATGATGGCAGAGGAGGGCTTTTGGACAGATAAGGACGTGAAGCTTACCGCTGCTTGGTTACAGGACTTGCTCGCTGTTGGATATCAACAGCCAAGATTGATGTCATTGGAGTTGGGACGTCCAAGAGCAAATATTGGTCATGGTGATAGAAGGGAGTTTATACCACAAAAGTTGCCATCTGTTCATCTTGGGGTTGAGGAAACTGGAACGGTAAATTATGAGATTGCTAATTTAATCAAATGGAGGAAAACTTTTGGGAATGTTGTGCTTATCATGTATTGTAGTGGCCCAGTGGAGCGTACAGCTCTTGAGTGGAGGTTGCTTTATGGGCGTATATTCAGAACTGTTGTCATTTTGTCAGAAAAGAAGGATACCGATCTTGCTGTGGCAGAGAGCCATTTAGAGAAAGCGTACAAGTAAGTTCAGCTATATCTTTCTCTTGCACGCCTCACCTAGGTTATTTGATTGTTATTTAATGACTGCTCTTATGGCCTGTCTTTCTCTCCTGAATTGCATTCTCTCTCTTAAATATAGTTTGTATTTTGGAATTTGCTCTGGAAATTTAGAAGCTGGCGAAGTTCTCTAGTATAATTATTCAATGAATAATCAAGTTAAGCCACAAGAAAATTTTCTCTAATTTTAAGAGCATTGCCCATCTTAATCATTTGAAATATGCGAATATATGGTGGGCATCAAATATGTAGTTTATAAAATACTCTTATTTCATTATAGCTATAATTATATCCACTAGGGAGCTGAATACCCGTTACTACTAAAAGTTGAATTCTGACTTCTAATTTTTATGTTATGATATTGACCTTGGAAGTCTTTAAATGCGAGATATAGTACAGAATTTAGACTGCCAATCTTTCTTCATAATATTAATTTGCTTCTCTTCTGTTTCCAGGCACCTGCCAGAAGTATTTGATCAATTCAGCAGTGCTGAAGGATTTCTGTTCCTGCAAGATAATACCATTCTTAACTATTGGAACTTGCTGCAAGCTGACAAAACCAAGCTGTGGATCACTAACAAGGTATTCCGATTTGTTTGCTTTCACTCAATTTAGGAAGTCTTATTTTTGGGTGGTGATTGCCTTAAAGTCCTTCCTCTCCCAAAAAAGAAGAAAAGAAGAAGAAATCATAAGAAAAAAGGCCTATGTCACTTGAACTTCGCTTCTGTGAGAAATGCTTATCTAATTATCCTAATGACTTTAGTTGATGTTTTTCCTACTGTTAGCTGATCTTTAGAAACCCCAGCTCTATCTCTCCTTTGACGTATTCATTGGCGTTCAGGTATCGAAGTCTTGGACTACAGTTACAATCAATGACAACTCAGATTGGTTTTCAAAACAAGCAGGCATGGTCCAGAAGGTTGTCAGCACACTGCCAGTTCACTTTCAAGTCAATTACAAAGAAACTCTAACAAGCGAGAAGAACCTCCTAATATGTAGCTCTGAGGTATTCTATATTCCTCAGCGCTTTGTGGGTGACTTTGTTGAGCTTGTTAATCTAGTGGACGATCTGGAGATTCATCAGAAGGTTGCAATTCCTATGTTCTTTATATCCTTAGACTCTCCCCAGAATTTTGACTCTGTTCTCAACACTATGACCTACAAGAGTAAGCCCCCAGCCAACTCCTCCACTCTTTATTCTGCTAATGTACCTGCTGTTCATCCATGGAATGTGTCAAGCGAGCAAGATTTTATAAAGCTTATCAGAATAATGGCAGAAGGGGATCCCCTATTAATGGAGTTAGTTTGATTGTAGGAATATTATAAGACGAGAGACAGCACGCAAAGAAACACATTACACTCAGTTAATTGTTACGAATGACAGTCTTTTTGTTTTTCCTTACGAAATATTCTAGAAAGGGATTATTTTCCCTATTTTCTTTCCAGTTTTCCCTTCATTGTAGATCTGCCTTGTATAATTCATTTCTTTTGGTTGTTTGTTCCAGAGAGGGAAATGTATTAAATTCTTTGCCCCCTTATTTTGTGAAAATCTGAAATATGAGAATTCATTTGTATCCAATGCCGTTACTCAAGCTCTCAATTGAAAGCTTCTCTTCTTGCAGTAATGCTCGTTTCGATGTTCTGAATTTTTCTGTTTTCACTTTTTGGGCTTAGCTGCTAACTGCAGAATAACACTAATCTGACACTGCGATTACTCTCCTACTGCCCAGCAGCTTCATGCAATCTTTACAACCGAATACTGACGTGTTTGGGGATTAAACATTTATGACTCAATTATTTTACGCTCTCTTCCCGTGTGTACTCTAAGGAAGGGTTCATCAAACGAAAAATTTGAGCAACCGTGCAATGGGTTATGATTAACCTCGAATCACAAGCTTGTGTTTGCGAAGGGATATAGTTTTCAACTACACATAGATTGATCCCTGCAAATAAATTACAACAGGGAAAGAGGCAAGAAAAACAGAATGATACAAAAAGATATCCTAGATAATGAACAGCAAGGTGGAGCCAGGTTCCAAATACAGATGGTTGAGATGAATCAGCAATTTCAAATTTCTTCGCTGTTGTATATTCTCCTCAAACTCCCAATATCAATGGTGAAATTCAACGGTCAATTCCTTCGATTTTGTCTTCCACTTCTGAATACAATTGCCTGAGCCTCTCAATATTCTGTTCAGAGGTTTCCCAATAGCCACGTCCATTGGCTTCCAAGAACGTCTGAACCAACTTCCTAAAGGAGTTAGGATTTTTGTTCATGAGCTTGTTCAGCATTTCCTCGTCTTGAATGAACGTAGTGTTGGCTTCTTCATAGACCCAATTGTCAACTTGGCCTGAAGTTGCACTCCACCCTACAGTGTTAGTGAGTCTCTTCTCAATTTCTCGGACACCCTCATAGCCACTAGACAACATTCCTTCATACCACTTGGGGTTCAGCAGTTTGGTTCGTGCATCAAGTCTCACAGTCTCAGAAAGTGTGCGGACCTGAAAGCAATATTTTCACAAGGTTAGAGCAAAATCAATATTGCTGGAGAAGAATTTTAGCTTAGAAACAGGAGACTGATATAAATTTTCACCTGCGCATTGGCTGTGGTTGTATCAGCAACGTACGCACTTGGTTTCTTCCCATCTTTCCTTAGACCTTGAACCAGATTAGTAGGGTCAGAATCAAAGTAGTGACTCACGTCGGTGAGCGAAATTTCAGATGAATCAAGGTTTTGGAATGTGGCATCAGCTGTGCTCAGAGCCATCTCAAAGACCTTTCTTTTTTCAGTCATGCCCGACCCAGGAGCATCACAGTCAAAAGCAAAAGATTTGCGGCTAAGGTACATATCTTGAAGCTGCTTCTCATCATTCCACGAAGAGTTCTCCACGGCCAGGTTTATATTTGAGGAGTACGATCCTGAGGCATTGGAGAAGACCCTTGTTGCCGCTTCTCGAACTTCAATTCCAAGGGCTTGAGCTTGTTCTAATGCGTGCTTCCTCACGTAGTTTTGCTCTGCCGGCTCATCTAATTCAGCAACCATTTTCACAGCTCTATCCAGGAGATTCATCTGCAAATGAAATAATTAGAACACGAGCAAAGCAAATGGAGCTAGATAGAAAGAGCTAACGCTAACAAGACTACTAAATTGGTCCTAAGCCTTCATATCCAGAGAAACAGCAAGAAGATTGATACCTGATTGATGAAAAGATCTCTGAACACTCCAGAGCAATTAACAACAACATCAATCCTTGGCCTTCCAAGCTCTTCAAGACCAACTGGTTCCACACGGTTGACCCGTCCAAATGTATCAGCCACTGGTCTCACACCGATCATCCACAAGACCTGAGCCAATGATTCACCGTAAGTCTTGATATTATCCGTTCCCCACAATACAAGGGCAACTGTCTCAGGATACTTTCCCCCATTATCAGCCTTTTGCCTCTCAATCAACCTATCTACCACTATTTTGGCACTTTGCATAGCTGCTGTTGTAGGAATAGCTTGTGGGTCCAGGGCATGAATATTCTTTCCTGTTGGTAAAACTTTGGGGTTCCTAATAGGGTCACCACCGGGACCAGGCTCCACATATTTACCCTCAAAGGCCTGTTTTAAACTTCCTAATTCATTGTCAGCCACAACCAACTTCAAACATTCTCCCAAGAAAGCAAACAATACTCTTAGCTTTTCCCTATCTGCTCGGTAAAATTTGGTGTTTGACAGGTACTGAATCCATGGCTCATTTATTCCGAATCCAAGAATTGAACTAAGCTTATCAGCTACATCAACAACTTGACCCTTGTCATTAGTAGTTCGCTCCACAAAGGCTGTAATAGATCCACGTGATGCTTCAGTTATTTGTCGAAGAAGCTCCACATCCTTCAATATTCCTTTGTCATTCCCTCTGTAGACATCCTCAATATCTCTCCCTACAGTCTCAGCTAGTATTGCCGGGAGTGAAGCAATACCATCTTCAGGACGATCAAGTGCAGCAATGTTCACCAGTGTAGCAACTGCTTCCAAGGCTGAGGGAGGTTCACCAATGACATGAAGCCCACAAGGCAATAAGCGGGACTCAATCTCCATGATCTTGGAATACACCTTACCAACCACAAGATCTCGCTCTTTTGCTGGAATCTCCTCACCCTCCTCCGGAAGTTCCACATCCTTGTCAAGATTGCATTGTCTAGCTGTGCTGATAATTGAACTCACAATTTGTGGTCCCCGGCCAGTGTCCTTGAGGGACTGGTAGGAAGAGATGAGCTCACTCAACTGCTTAAGACCTTTGTAAAGTCCAGCATTTTCTGCTGGAGGAGTCAGATAGCTGATAGTGTTTGCATAGCTCCTTCGCTTGGCTATGGTGGCTTCAGAAGGGTTGTTTGCAGCATAATAGTAGACATTGGGGATATTTCCAATCAGACTGTCAGGGTAACATACATCACTCATCCCCACTTGTTTTCCAGGCATAAATTCAAGTGAACCGTGTGTTCCAAAATGAAGAACAGCATCTGCTTTGAAAATTTTTTCAACAAAAGAGTAATAAGCTGCGAACCCATGATGTGGGCTGGCAGATTTAGAGAAAAGCAGCCGCATAGGATCACCTTCATAGCCGAACGTGGGCTGAACCCCTATGAAGACATTACCATAATGTTTTCCATACACCAATAGATTCTCTCCATCTGCATTCAAATTCCCAGGAGGTTTTCCCCAATTCTCTTCTAATGCTGAGGCATAGGGAGTCAACTTTTGGTATTCACGAACATTCATTTTGTAAGCAACGTTCAGACTTGGGCTGCTGAATTGTGCCTCTTTGTCATGTATGACATCTTCAATTAAAGCATCAGAAGTTTCTGGAAGGCCATCGACATTGTAACCATCTGCTTTTAGCTCTTTTAGAACAGAGAAGATGGAGGAGAAAACATTAAGGTAGGCAGCAGTTCCTACATTTCCTTTGTCTGGAGGGAAACTGAAAACAGTGATGGCTAATTTCTTCTCTGCCTGCATGAATGCATAAATGGGCCATGAGAATCTCAACAATCAAAGTCAAACTTCATTAAGCAAATAAAGGAGAAAGATTCTTCAAATTAAATGGCAATAACGAAATGCATAACAGCAATATCGTTGTGGCAATGTAAACTGTTGGGAAAACCCTGCTGTCGTTCCTGCAATTCTAGTGGAAAAAGATGCAAGACTTCCATTTATGCCTTGTCTGGGAAAAACAAAAAGGAGAAAAAGAACATGGATTCATGAAAAATAGGGAGGCATCGTTCTCAATTATGGTTTATGCCTTGCGAATTTCCCTTCCCTCGTCTTCTATTTCAGAAACAAGGGTTTAGATTAGAAACATGTGGCCGGTTAAATAATGCTACCAAACTAAGAAATATCTCTGACTCTCTTCAGCTCTCTAAACTAAATTCATTACCATCCCCTGGACATTAATAGTCTAATTAAGAAAATAAAATAAGACTTCAAAACAGATCATGCAATATAGATCCTATCTGCAGAGCTTCCTATTAGATATAGCTAGCAAGTCACGGCTGGGTGGTGTAAACACCAAAAAAGGGGGAATCCTTTATCAGATACTGTCTTCCAGGACATGGGGAAAAAGGTTCACAGTAACAGCTTTCATCTCTATCAGTTTATTTCAATATTAAATTTCCTTCCAAATAGGACAGACTTTATAAAGTATATATGGGAACAAAAAGGTATTCAGTTAGATCAGTACATACTTGAACTGGATAAGTGACTTAAGACTCAGAAACCAGCACATACCTTTGATTTTCTTTTCAATTCAGCCCATCTGATTGCTCTAGTGCAGAGCTGCTCCACCCTCTTGTGAAGAGCATGAGATTTTCCTTAAAACACATTAAGAAACCCAGGTGAGGATTTTCTCAAACAAAAGTGGAATTAAGAAAAACCAAGAAAGTGAAATTCTGGATACAGAAAAAATGTACAACCAAAAATTTCCAACCAAGACTCATAATCTACCAATCCCGAAAAGCGAGATCGTCTCTGTTTTACTCAAAGATAAATATAAGAAGGGAGGTGTTGTTACCTGTTCTAGGATCTCGACCGGCAAATACAATGGGCTCCATGCCTCCATCTAGCTCAGGCAGAGCAACTTGCAGAGCGACCTGAATTGGGTGCAAACCCAATGTACTGTTGAGCCACTCCTCTGTGGTCTGAAACACTAGGGGCAATGCGACAATGTACGGGACATCAAGCCTCCTCAAAGCCTCGACTGCTCTTGGATGATCCTGCCTTGCAGGGCCTCCAACAAGAGCAAAGCCGGTAAGTGATACAACAGAATTCACAAATGGTTTCTTGTTGATCGGATTGATCAAATATTTCTCCACCGGCCCTGAAAAATCAAGGCCACCAGCAAAAATTGGAATAACTTTAGCACCTCTTGCTTCGAGTTCCATAATCACAGCCACATAGTGGCCTTCGTCCCCAGTTACGATGTGACTCCTCTGCAGAATCAAACCAATCACCGGTGCATTTGGGCTCTTGAGCTTCTCGTTTGCATCCTTTCTAGTTGCATACCAATTCAAATACTCCTTCACATCACCGTACATACAAGGAGCCAAAGGGTGCCATATTCCACTATCCAAGTACAGAACTGGCTCGGAATAGTCGATCTTTGTCCCCTTCAATGCCGGAACATAAGACCCAGATATCATCTTCAAGAAATTCTGCAGATTGTCAGGCGATCCACCAAGCCAAAACTGCAGACTCAGTATGTAAAGCCTTGCATCCTGAGCTTTATCACTTGGAAGATACTTCAAGACCTTGGGCAAAGTCCTTACGAGCTTCAACATACTATCAGCGAACCCAGCTGATTGCTGCTTCTTTTTCTTGAAAAGCTGGAAAAACGGACTTTTGGATTGCCCAAGCTGCGACATGCTGAAAGAACCCAACTTATTCAGCCTCATTACTTCAGGCATTGATGGGAAAACCAAAACAGCGTCCAGTCTGTCTCTTTCTTTCTCCACCGCAGCCTTAACTTTGAGAGCAAGCTCCTCGACAAAAATCAAAGACCCAATAAAAATATTAGCGTCTTCGAGATCCTTACAGAATGATTTGTACGTCGATTCATCGCGAAGCTCCTCGACCAAGTAACCTACAACTTCAAATGACGCATGTTGTTTTCCACCGTTGAGAGCTCGCACAGCAGCGGATAGAGATGATTGGTACTGAGCTTCGAGGACAACATATACAATTTTAACCTTTGGAAGGTTCATGTCTTTCTCTGGGACTATCCTACGAACTTCTGGGGATGTTTGGGTGAATAGGCCATTGCCAATTGCGGCACATTTCAGTCTCATGGGGGACTTTGAATTGACAAAATTGGCTCTTTTGGGAAGAAAAGAATGGAGAAAGAAATGCTTTTGGGCAAGAGAAGAAAGCTTGTCAGCCTTAGAGCTGGGTAAAGTAGAAGGGGAAGATACCAGAGAAGCCATTGATGATAAGCTCTGTACAATCACACACAGAAGGAATGCTGTTTCTCCAAATTAAACGAGTGCAAAAGGCAGAGGAAAGTGAAAGAATGAGGAATCAAAGCAGAGGAATGAATTTGCACACTTACTTTCTTTTTCTCTCTCTAAAGTTATGCTTGGAACTCAGTTCCAGTGCATCCTCTTCCTTCCTCTGTTCTCTTTCAAAAGGATGGAAGGTTATGGGTTTTATTAGGTTTGTGTGGAGGGCAATGAAAGAAGAGCTCCAGAATTGAACTGTTGGTTTTCATGGTTAGTGGTGAGAGCTAGAACCACGTGGCAAGTCGGGTAGGCATTGGAATTAATGAATGACTGAGGTTTTGATGCCAGTGTCATGGGGTGTGTAGGAGAGAGAAACCGAGAGATGTGTTTCGTAATATTTCTATCTGCTGAGCTTTTGAGATGGAGTTCCCTGAATTCTGATTGGTCCGAGAGGATTTCCCAGCGAGGGGATTAAGGAGGAGTAAGAAGGGGTGAAGATGTGGATGATGAGAGAGAAAGTGGGAGATTTTTTGTTGCATTGCAGGCGTGGCGAGGCCTTTTCCGAAGGCATAAAGATTCTTACTTTTTGAGTTTGTGTCTCATATTGAAAAAGAGTTCCGATATTTCTGTACGAGAGACCTAATGGGCCCAGGCGTACTGTCGAGTCCTACGCTTCCCTTTAACTTACCACAAGTTCTTCCGTTGTTCTTTTGTTCTTGTCAGCATATCAAGCCGGCGCGGTTATCTCGTGAATTTACCAGTGGTTTTAACTTGAATCCAGTAACATATGTACTAATTGTCCAGTCTATAAGATACATAATCGGACTACGTTAATGGAAAAAAAAAATTGAATGATGTGTTTCTACCAAAAAAAAAAATTGAATGATGTGCAAGGTTAGCCCCCTCAATTGCGAATGGTTTACAATAATTAAGAGACATCCCCGCGTATTAGAATGGAAAGGAAGCGTTCAAGTTAGTTAGTTAAACAGGGGAAGAGATTTTGCTTTTCTTTTCTTTTCTTTTTTTTGGTGAAAGAAGAGATTTTTCTTTAGTTGGGGTGGAATAAGCTAAACCCCACTTAATAATGTTGAACAAGAGATGAAGTCTTAATAAATGTAACTCGATTTGGGAAATCAATTGTGGTGCAAGGATGCTATCGACCACGTTCGATATTTTCCCGCGTCTCCGAGTGTGTTTGGATGAAACCAAACCGTAGTTTGGAGAATAGATTCTGGAAAGAATAAATTTTATGAAAAAGTGATTTTGAGAAGTGAGAGTGTTTGGATAGTTGTTATCAGAAGCACTTTTTATATATACAAATTACTAAAAAAAAGACATAAGTTAATATGATAATTACAGAAAAAATATATTTTATGATATATTTTAATTTGAAGGAATAAAATTGTTAATAATATATTTTTATTAACATAATTAATAATACATAAGATAATATAATTAATTAATAATTAATATGTATATATATTTATAAAATATAAGATTAAATATGTTTATAAAAAATATGTTTATAAAAAAAATAACAAGATACATATCCTATAGGGTCTCACACTCTCCCTTTTTTCTCCAAAAGCAAAAAAATTTTGCTTTTTCCAAAACCATGGTTTTGGTTTTTGAGTGGATGTTTGGGTGATTTATTCCCCAAACCATGGTTTGGAGTGTCACCCAAACACAGCCTCCATCACAGGTTCTTCTTTAGCAGTACGACATGCAAGCTTGTAGTTATTGTGAAGTAAATGAGAACGCAGTTTTTCCTAACTTGAGCTTCTTCTTTTTTTTCTCCTTATTAACTACTTGCTTCTTTGCAAAGAATAAAAAATCGAACTGAACACTAAACCGATTGAAGCAGTGGTTTAAGAGTTAGTTAGTCTGACCAAGATCAACTCGGAGTCCAACTCGTCATATTAAAATAATATAATTTAATTAAAAATAACGAAATATAATAATATTAATAGTTGCTAATAACAAAATATCAGAAAATATGATAATAGTAATAACAAAGTATAACAATATTGAGAATTTTGATCTTTATAATTTATCATTAACTAAAATTAATAATCATTTATATCAAAATTATTATTAAAATTCATTTAAATATATAAGGACTAAGATATTAAGAGTTGAATGAAAAAAATTAGGACTAACAACAATCTCATCATCCAAACCGGTTTATTACTGGTTCACACCAGTCTCTATTGGTTTAATCGGTTTGATACCAGTTCAACTCCCTCCTAGTTTAATATCCAAACCAAACCGGACAACTGATCGGTTTACTGGTTTACCGGTTAAATTAGCTGTTTCGGTCCCATTTTTTATTCTTTGCTTCTTTGCTAGCCTTTGTTCATCTTCCTCGGGCATGAGAACAAATTTGCCGTCATCATTCATGATACGCTAAAATTTACAGTGCCATACAGTGATCTCATGTCAAAAAGCATATTTTCACATGCAGTTATATTTTAAAGGTTATAATTAATAATGGTTGATGTGTGAGAAGTCCAGTGAATTGCACTCAGCTTGCTTGCCAGACTTTAAAGTTGAATAACGTAATGGCCCCATGAGGAAATCAAAAAGCCGGAAGCTAAAATAACAGAGACTGGTGTGTCAAAAATCTCTCAAACTTTTTGGACCTGATAAAAAAAAATCTCTCAAACTCAAAGAAAGCGAAATACGCCAGAGGTAAGGCACTGTTTGGATAAATGAAGATGAATTTTTAAGTTTCACATGAAATAGGTATAAAACTATTGAAATTAAAATCCTTATAATTTTAAAAATACACGCCGTATGATCACGTATGAACGGAGAATGCGACTCACCAGGAGCCATTATATTGTGGTGTGTCTATAACCTCAATGGTTTGGGTCAAGAATAAATGATTGAGCATTACTGTGGAAGGACCCAGAAAGATTGTGTTCATAAATTTGGAGTGGGGAAAGCATTGAACAGTTTGAATGGATTGGATTGGGCTGGAGATCGAATCCTGCCCTCCCCTCCCCTCGAAAATAAGAAATTTTGAAACACTCGTTCAATTTGACTAAATTAATAAAATTAACATACATTTGAAATAATTATATTTTCTCTTTAAAATCAAGAGTGGCCTTTTTAGCTGAAAAGCAAAGGAGAATTGAAAACCCAACATATTTTCTCACTTTGTTTGTCTTTTTTCTTTTTAACTTAGAATATTTCTTCTTAAATTATAGGAAAAATGGTATAAAAAAACCATTAAAATATAAAAATTACAAATAAAGACCCATTATAATAATAGGATAAGTTTTGACAATAATTTTTATAAACCAGTCCTTGTGTGTAATTTTGCTATTTCTAAGGCTTTTTATTTGCCATTTTTCCTAAATTATATCAGTACTGCAAAATAGTTTTGTTACACGATTAAAATTAATATGGAAAAGAAAAAGAAAGTCTGGAAGCAGAGTTATTGTTAATTAATTATAAATGTTGTCCCAAAAAAAACGTTTATAGGGCTTGGTTAAAAATGTTAGGGCTAAGAAAATGGAACGGCCCGTGGGGACGGCAGAAGGACTGAAGGAGCCCCAAGCTGAGAGAGGAGCATCGGTGATGCTCATGGACTTCGATTCGGATGAACCCACACTCGACCTTCCAACTACGACCGCCGCCTGTATGCCCGGACCACCGTCACCGTCACATCGCCGTTTCATCTGTTCCCACTGCTCGCGCCCCGGTCCGGTGTGCCTCTGCCACGTCCTTCCATCGCACCCCATCCACACTACGACCCGGGTAGTGATCCTTCACCATCCCCACGAGGCACAGCACAAGCTCTCCACCACTCCAATTCTCACCAAGGCACTACTCAACGCCACCGCCATCTTTGGCCGACGCCTCCACCCTGGCCTTTCCGCACTACTCGATCAGTATCCCAAGGCTTTGTATCTCTTTCCACCGACTCATTCCTCGCCGGCCGTCAATATCAATCACCTCAAGACATTGGATTGGTTCCGAAATAACGGAGAAGATTTGGTTTTGATCGTTTTTGATGGAACGTGGAAGCACGCGAGGGAGATGGTGAAGGCCAGCGAGGAGTTTCTTTCCAAATTTGCTACTAGGGTTTGTTTGGAGATCGATGAAACAGTGAGCGGTGGAAGTATATATGACTCCGAATTGATCTTGAGGAAGGAACCCTTTGCCGGGTGCGTGAGTACTATGGAGGCTGTGGCTAGAGCTTTGAGAGTGATTGAGCCAAATGGGTCAGAGATTGAGAGCAAATTAATTGAGATTCTGAGGGAAATGGTGAAGCTTCAGGCTAGTTATTTGAAGCCGATGAAGCCAAGGCCAAAACTGATGAATAAGGTCAAGGAAAGGGAGAAGCAGATGGAAAAGAATGAGAGTTCTGTATAATCGATTACTTGAAGAGGACTGTGACATACTGACCTCTTTTTGGCGGATACTCACTTGGTACTGCCCCTATTACTTAGTAATCGCATTTAAAGATTCAAGATGCCTTTAATCTTTTTATGAAGCCGGCGATTGTCTAGGCTTGTCCTTTAGGTTGTATCTTCTTTCTGACCAGAGTCATGAGTATACCTACTATTCTTGAGAGGTTGCAGAGGATCCGAACCCGCTTCATAGCATATGATTGTGCACAGTTTTGAAAATTTGTTCTGTGGACCTGTCTGGTGAATGCATGGCACAATGCATGCTGCTTTAGAAATGGCATAAATATAGCTGAATGCTGAGACAAGTACCTCAGTTAGTTCTGTAAAATTGGACTGCACTGCAGCATATTCCTATTTATGACTCTATATACTTTGGTAAGTATGGTGGAGATCTCCATCCCCTACAATTTGGTAGTCATGTCTTAGATTTTTGGATGGTTTCATGAGTTCTAACTGCCGTTTCCATTGGGCTGGCCACGCATGAAAACTAGGACAGAAAGATATTAGAAGAAGTTGGGAATTTTTTTTCCCCATATCGAATTTGTGACCCTTTAACTTGAATGGGTGAAGATTTGCTCATCTCATGATTCGTTTTTCCTGATGTGATTCTAGTACCGCAGTTCCTGACTTCCTATACAAGCATATGATTAAAAAAAGTTTCAGAGCAGCAATTGAGATCAAATTCATTAGTATCATGGGATGTGACATTTATAAACTACTTGAAACAATTGCATTGCATCACTTGGGTTAGATCTTGGATGGCTGGTGGAGAACGCGTAGTTTATTTCAGGAGGTTAAAATTTAAAAAAAAAAAAAAAAGAAACTCCCTAAACAAGATCCCTATGAATAGACTGATACCATTTATGAAAGCTGGAACAGGTGATTTGCATCCGCCATTATTGCCGCCTTGCCAACTTGTAAAATCAGCCTCTAGCAAAATTCCTACCTCGCACAAAAATATGAGCAGAACCTTTTGAGAAGCCATAATATACGCATTGGGGCCACCAAAGGAGAACCTTAGCCTCTGGGTTCGGATACATTCTCCGGCCTCCATGATCACAGTTGGTATAATGGCATCCCATGGTTACGCTACGCAATTTCCCAAAGCCGCTCATTCCAAAAGCTTGATCTATCTGCTTCAGAGGTTTATTTCTAAAGAAAGTGGAGGGTTCAATTGGGTTAATTAAAGTTTGTCCCTGAGATGCGCATGGCTCTGGTTGAGCACGCAGTGAGAGATATTGAATCAGTATAATGATGGGCCTTTTATAGTGGTTCCAGGCTCATGACACATCCGATTCCCATTGCCACATGACCTGAGTCTGGCTTAGCCCCCACTATGAAGGCATGTATATTCGAAGCTTTTATAGTTATTCCAGATCAACAATTGAAGGAAGGGAATAAAGGAGAATTGGCTAAAAAGAGGATGCGGATTCATAGCTTACATTTCTAGCAAAGAAAACTGAAGCGATATATTCTTGTTTCTTGCCTTTTCCGTGGGCAAGAACCAAGGACAGACAATTACATGCTTTAAGTCTGTGATTTGTTGGTCAATCTGCCTTGATTGTTTTTCCGGGGAAAAAAAAAATAACGAACGAAAGATCAGATCTCTCCCTTCCCTTCTCCGAAGGTTAAACTCCCCAAAACTAAGTCGATTTCTAAAATTCTTTTATTTATTTATACAATTCTTTCTGAAAAAATCTATTATGAAGATGAGGAAATATAAGAGACTGGGAGTGAGAGAAACGAGTAACATGAGACGAGAGAAGTAGGGAGAACGAGGGAGCATAACATATAAGGCATTATATATTTTTCCTGAACTTGCCCTTCATATGATAAAGGTTGAGACAGAAATGAATAAGATGTTAAAAAAAGAATAATTAACAAGGGATGGAAATGAATTTTCTTATATTCATTATGTCAAGTTTTTTAATCACACATATTTATATATTTTATATTTTCATGTTAATTTATAATTAAATGATACTCCTCCGGTCCTAATTATAAGACCCAATTGACTTATTTGAGGAGATTAAGGAAGTAAGTTAAGTTGGTTATTTATAATAAATAAGTGTTGTCATTCCTAAAATATCCTTGCTAATTAAGTATATTGGCTAAAACTATCATTATTAGAAGGATTATCTTGGAAAAAAATGCATAAATATAAGAGACAAATGGATTGGGTCTTATAATTAGGACCAAATAAAAAGTCAAATTGGGTCTTATAATAAGGACCGGAGGAGTAATATTTTAAAAAAATGACACATAACTATGTATGATTAGAAAACTTTAACATAATAAAAAGTCAAACATGAAGAACTTGATGTAAGAGTTATCTCGAGTATATGAACTAGAGGGTTTTTTTTTTTTTTTAAATCATGTTCACTATTTTTTCATCAATATCCACCTGCCCTTTGTACAAACAAATCATGGCACATGTACCATTTACACAACTTGCAGATTTATGTACATGTGTCTCCCCTGGCTTTCACCTCCTAATTAAACAAAAATGCGTGAGGGTACAGAGTATAAGAACCGATCTCCTCACTATTTCTGCACGGCAGGGAGATTTCTTGAGGAAGATATTTGACAAGTCATTTCACTTGATTTGTAGAACTCAGTCTCCATGAAATGCTTGCTTATTAACACCAGATAATGAACCCGCAAAATATCAGGCGGAACCAAAAATATACGCATTGGGGTCTTCAAACGAAGTTAAGCTTCTGGTTCCAATCTTCCTCGTTGAACTCCATGACCACACAAGTGGCCATGTTGGTATTTCACGAAGACGTGAAGCAATTCCCAATGCCACCCATTCCAAAACTGCGACTCAGATCCTACTTCTGCTCACCATGGTGATGGTGGTTTGTTACTGAAGGCCAAGCACATTTTAGCTGGGGTTGGTGTTCGGATTTGGCTCAAAACTGGATCGTGCTGTGTGAGAGATTGCTGCATTTAACGGGTCTTTATATATAGCTTTCAAAAGCATCTTGGACCCTTTTCAACATGGTCTCTGTATTTGACGTAGCCCGGACTGTGAAGTCAGGTATATTCAAAGTAAAGGCGTCTGTTATTGGTTTTCCAATACTGAAGGAAAGGAATCGAGGTGGATTGTTTAGAATTGTAGGTAGCATATATGCGGAATCTTTTAGCTTAAAGACTAGGCAAGTGCTATTCCTGTTATTCGTCTTCGCTTGAATAGACTCGTATAATTTTCTAATTACTAACTATGTGCCTTTGATTTTATAAGGTCAAATGCAAATTCTCTCGCTAAAAGAGCTATCTATAGAGAGTTTTGATCAGCAAAAAGCCAAGTAAAGCATTGTGGTGTGGAGTTGCCAGGGACATAGGCTCTTGAGGAAATACATTGTTATGAGCTCCTTGAATTTATAAATTACATAACACTTGTAAAAATTCCTAACATGAGACTCATAATAATATGCAGCCATATGTGCTCTCATATTTACCTGCTACTTTTTCCATTAAAAATAGTCATTATATCCATATTTGGATTATTTTAATTTTCAAAAGTTGTTAAAATTAAATAGAACGTAAAATAAAATATAACTATTAAATGGAAAACAATAACGGACTATTGAAGAGCTTTTTCAAACTGAAAACTAAACTAAAAGTGATTACTTTATGAAATTTTTAGAAATTTTGAACACACTCCAATTATTCACTTCCCGGTGTTTCCGCCCCATAAATTACCTTATACACACATGGTATATAGAGAGCGAGAATATGGAGTAAACGACACAGGTAAATAAGGACACCGTCTGTATTGTAAAATTATGCTTATTTTTTAACCATTAAAGTGAAGGTTTTTAGCTGGCCAAAAAGATAAAATAAAAATATATTCATATATACTTGTAGTGTACTAATATTATAATCAATTTTCAACTATTGAAATGGAAACAAAGGTGCATGTAAGAACTAATACAATTTTACAATGTTACACATTTAATGGCGCGATTATGTTAAGTAGATTTAGTATTATTTTGCTTTCAAAAAAAGAACGGAAATGTAAAAAAAATAAAAAATAAAAATGCACACTGGCAAAATGATTTTGATTGACATTAATTTTTCAGGTTAAAACAACTTAAATTTTACGAAGCACATTGGGTACCCAAAAGTAAAACATGCAAGAAAGCCCTCGAGATATAAAATTATAAAGAGAAACGTAAAATTATTCCAACACACAATCTTGTTATTTACATATTATTTACAATCGAATAGCATTAGAAAAACAGAGAAAGGAAAGGAAATTACACACCATCTATTTATCAGTGATAGATGTTCAATAAATTTAAATGGGAAACAAGTTATGCAGATCAAACAGCTTCTTGGGCATCCCAAATCAAGTAATGCTGATCATTTTGAGCATCTCCCACGTGTCGCCATTGAAAATTCTTGACGAGCAGTATCAGAAACACCAAAAACATCGCAAATATTCTAAGATTGCTGCTTCCCAACAGGCCAACCAAGTGCAACGTTAACGTAACGATGGCCTCCAACAGAGAGGAATGATGGTCGGGCGTAAGCAGACTGATCAGACAAACCGCATCAACGTCCATGGCAACGACCGTCACCAATACCGCAACCTCGTCCGACCCATGACGATGATTGTGTCCGATTGCCAACATCAGACAAGACACAACAACAAGAACCACCACTTCTCCGAGAGATCTTAACACGTAATGGTGGGGACCCACACTGCAGAATCTGAAGAACAAAATGAAGATCAGACAGAGTGTGTGCCCTACTAATGCGGCCACAAAGAGAAGCTGGAGAAGATAATCACTTGATTTGTAGAACTCGGTCTGTGTGAAGCTTCCAAAAGCCAACAAGGAGCTTATGAGGCTGATGACGAACAAAAATATACGCATTGGGGTCAGGTAAGGATACACATTTTGACCAAACCATATTTGAAATAATAGGACTGGAGAGTTCATAATAATGCTAGAATTAGAATCATTTGACGTCCACATGCGTGACCAGACGTCTCCAAAAGTGACCTTGTGGCAGCCGTTTTGGGAAGTTTGGCTACTTTTCACTTGGTCATCAAGAGGCTGCTGCGACTGGGGGTTTGAGGGGGCTGACATAATGGAAAGAGATATATGGGAGGATGTAAATGAGCGTTTGGTGTGCAGAGTTGAGATTGTTGGGATTTTGGCTCACACCGAGGATCCATTGTATATATAGTTAATTTCATGAATAACCGAGAAAGGCAAAGAATAAATAAATTATTCCAACTTTTTTCTCAGAGAAAAGGAATAGATTATTCAAGTTTTCTGCAAGAAAAAAGAACGAATTATTCCGGCTTGACTCATGGGTAAAAGTTGTCCAAGAAAGTAATATAATATTCCCTTTCTATATGTATATATCCGCCGCAGTAGGAAATTTCACTGTTGATTCACAGCATCATCCACCTTCTTTTTTCTTAGCATGTGTATATATATTATCACTGAAAGAGGGGAAAAGTACAACAACCGAGGATAGGCATCATCATCAATATGATTATATATAAATAGAAAACTAAATAAGGCAACCTAGGATGTTTTCAATGACAGAATAAGTTACAACATTCCTGCAAATCAAGTAATTCTAGAATGCAATAATGCAAGTAAAATAAAAGTTAAAATAGACAAAAGCTACTGCAAGTGCCTAGTAATAGCTTCAGTAATTTTAAGAACATGCCTTGTAAGTGCCGAGAACTGGGAATCAATTAATTTATGTATTTCCGAAAGCACTTTTGCACGGTTACACGTCAATACCGGGATTAACCGCCAAGGGGGATGTGCACGACGCTAATGGGCGGTGAAAGAGCCGATGTCTCAAATGAGGAGAACAAAAAGTGGATCGAGTGTTGAGTTTTGCAGTGAGACTGTGGAACATATGCACGAAATCACTTTCCCTCTCCACGACCTCGAACAACACTTCAACAGCATCACTCGCCCTTGCGGGAGCCATTCCAGCGGGTTGCACCAGAGGAAGGTCGATAGCCAAGAAGAATGCGGAAACTGCCGTTGGGTCCAAGGACTCGGACGAAGACGCAGTATCAAGTGCAGAAATAATGGCGGCAAAATAAGCCGGCGGTGAGATTGGAACGCACGGCTGCGGCGGTTGGCTTAACGGTCCAGGGGTTGCTGGCAAAGGTCCAAGCTATCCTTGAATAATTCTGCGTTCTTCTTCCACAAGGAACAGATTTTCACTTGATTTGCCACGCTGTCGATAATTTTCAATTCCTGCCGTCCTGCAGTTTGAAGAAGAAAGAGAGCCGAGAGAGGCAGTTTTTTTTTAAATGAAGCACGGTGCCGCAGACCAGTGATGGATTACCCCCCCCCCCAAAAAAAAAAAAACTACATCTAACCAAACATTAATTTGGCAAGTTGGAGGTCCCCGCATCTATCAGGGGCAACAAAAAAAAAAAAAAGAGTCCCTATTTCACGGGTTCGTGTGAAATTGACAGGTGTAAAAAAAAAAAAGTAATTTTATCGTGAACCCCTATTAAATTTTTGAAATAATGGCCAAAAAAGACCATTAAAATAAAAAAATTGCATACAAAGACCGATTTGTAAAAATTGTTATCAAAACACATACTAATATTGTTATGGATTCTTATTTATAATTTTTTTTATTTCGACAGTCTTTTTTTTGTTATTTTTTCTATATTTTTTAACTTTCTCCAGCTCATATCTAATCACTCTAAGCATTAATTGACCACGTTGAAGTTTCTTGTTTTATCCCTATCACAAAAAAAAAAAAAAGTTTCCCATTTTATGTTGTCAAAAAACAAAAGTTCTACCTATTTTGTGCGTTCATGAAGTAATTATTTTTTCTGACAACGATCAATTTCACATGAACCCATAAATATGCTTTATTTTACAACACAATAGGAAACTTTAACTTGCCTATTTAACGCCCGGAGTAATTAGGTGTAAATTGGGCCAGCAATACGAAGACTTTTTCTGGTTTTGTCAAAAACAAGGTGTGGGTTTTTTCATAAGCCCAATAGAAAGCTTGAACCCTCTCCGCCTTACCCCAATGCCCAGGTTCATGTTGAATCGGAAGAGCTTAAAATCACCATTAGGTTATAAAATGATCACTACGCATAAAGGTCAGACGGGAAGGTTTTCATGGGAAAAAGTGTGGAGGCTGCCGATCCCAGAGAAAGTTAAATTCTTTATGTGGCAGGTTCTCCTAGAGAGGCTTCCTAAAAACCTTCTCAGAGCTAACAGAGAAATTACCGAAAATAATCAATGTCCCTTCAAATGTCAAAGAGAGGAAACGATTCTTCACATACTTCGTGATTGTGAAATAGCACAAGATGTCTAGGAACAAATTGTTAAACCTAACGCTAGATTTAGTTTTTTCTCTTCTGACTTGTAGGTTTGGCTTAAAAGGAACATGACCCAGAGCTTAGGGACCCCATGATTTACAAGGTAGCCTTGGATTAAAGTCTTTCATACCATATGTTGGCTTCTACGGAAAAACCAATGTTGCAAGGTCATGGAAGGTAGACAAGTGGAAGCGAAAGAAATTTTCCATAAAACCATCTTCCACCTCATGGAGGACAACGCGATGGGAAATACAAACATCAAGTTTTCAACTTTAGTGATCAAGAGGAAATTGTTTGGAAAACACCACCACTAGGTTACTTCAGACTAGACATTGACGCATCTGTAAACAATGAGCAGAAAGCAACAGGTAGAGGTATAATTCGAGATTCTCACGGACAGTGCATAGTTGGATACCAATGCAAACTGGAATATGCACACAGCACCACTGCAGAACTTCTCGCGTTAATACAAGGTCTCCAGTGTTGTCGGCAATATGGACTAGAGAGAGTAATAGTATATATAGATTCTATGGAGGTCTATAATCTAATCATGAGGGATGGAGACTCGAGCCACCCACTCAGGGAGGAAATCAATGTGGCTCGTAGCATGATTTTCCCGGAGTGGGAGCTGCAACTCAAATACGCATCTAGAGACACAATCAGGTGTGCAAACCGACTAGCAAAAATCACACATGATATGGCAAACAACCTCGTGATTTGGATGACCCCTCATCTAGAATGTGTGACCCTTTTGGAGGAGGAGGGGCCTTCGATTAGCCCACAGAAAATTCTTTTTTTTGAGCCCATGCTTGGCCCTATGTTAAAAAAAAAAATCACCATTAGGTCATCCATAATCTTTTTGTGGAAAACAATTCTATTTTATTCAAAAGAGATCCTTTTAGGGAATCTTAACTGCAATAAAGTGAGAATTATTTTCTTAACTGCACATGCTAGTTTAAAAGGGAAAACCGGAGAATGTGAAGTAAACTTTAGAAAGGAGCACCCCTCTCAAATGTCAGTTTGGTCATTTCAATTAGAAAGTTTAAAAAATAAAATAGAATAAATATAATCTCAGCAAGGGATGTGTCACTGCCTTGATAAGTCTTCGTCGGAGAAAACTATAGCTACAGTGAAAGGGTCGGAAAACAAGAACAAATATGAAAATGAAACATGTAATTTTACTTTTTTTATAAAAAAACTTTATCAATTCCTCACTTTTGTAAAAGGTACCAATGGGATTTAAATAAGTACAAGATGACGCACGAGGCTAGGGAATGGTGTAGGGCAGTGTTGCTGCAATGAGTGAGAGCAAAAGCAGAAACGCCACGATCACACATGATCTTCACTCTCAAAAGCTGCCGCCTTTTATCAAAACCCTTCAGGCAAAGAATTGATTGATCATGGAGAGATTACGATGTTCAGCCGCCAGAAGTCTGCTCACCACGGAATCTTCAAAACAATTTATAATGTTCATAATTCGTGAAAGCTTGAATTCATTGTATTTTTTATATTTTATATCTGCGTGATTATTCTTCATGTAGCGTATGTGCATTAATTCTAATGACATGATCATAATTTGTTTAATTTCAAAAGATGAGTGAAGTACGTGATAGAATTGAAGGAGGCCATACCACCGTGCCAAATTGAGTTCAAGCGTCGGTGTTTATTGGTTTGTCCATGTTCCCATAAACATGCCACTTTTACACAATAATCACAACGATGAATAAACCATTTGACCCTTTTCCATGAATTAAGTTAACTGAACCTGACATTATGTATAGTCTTAATTATTACTTTCGGTTTTTAATATAAGAGCTAATTGATTAATTTGAGTAAATTAAGAAAGTTTGTTAGGCCACTTATATGTAATAATTATATGTTATCTTTCCTAAAATATCCTTGTTAATTATGTATTAGCTAAAACTATCACTTGGTTGAACTTTAATATATGCAACCATTATAATTATTGTTTTGAAAAAAATAAATAAATATGAGAGGTAAAGTAGATTGAAATTTTATATTTAGAATCAAATTAAAAATTAAATTAGCTTTTATATTAAAGACTGAAGGTGTATAATTTTTCTCAGCCTTCTAAGCGCTAATCCCGCTACTCCGTTTGTTACAAGCTCTAGCTTAATGATGATAGCAGGAACGGGAGTTTTGATATGATAATTATTGATAGAATTTTCAACCTTAAAAAGGTGGGGGGGGGGGACATCCCGAGAGAATTTCCTGAAGTTCCATACATTTTATTTCATTCTTGTCAACCATCAAGCGAGGAAAGTCAATATATTGAGACTTCCATGGACTTAAATATCACTATAAACGGCTGAGACATCAGAATTTTCTCCATATTTCAATTTTTTTAGGAAAAAAAACCAACAATAATGAAGCGAGAGGACATGAAGATGGATGGTTTCAACCAAGCTATACAGCCGCCAAAGAAAACTAATTACAGTGTACTATTAGCGGGTCTTATGTTCCTGAAAATATTTTTTTTTCACCTTCAGAAAATATTTATTTTTGAATCATTGAAACAATACGAATTGTATTAAACAGCGACAACCCTTCATTTAACCTTGCCACCCATGATCCAGATGTACAAAGAAATAAAAGAAGCGTGGAGCATGTGAACCAGCCATGCATCTGATAACCACCAGAAGGAGCCATTAGAGATTTGATTTGCATGATAATTGATTGATTTGATTGTAAATACATTACAATCACA